ATCCAGGTTGAAAGATAAATGCATTTCAAATTTCTTTTGTGTTACCCCCATAAGCCTCAACACCAGTGATGTCAGTTAGTTAACTTAGTTCTCCCTGTGCTGTGGGGTGCATAATAACGCTGGACAACTCTTGCTTTTCAACCAGCCCTGTCTTGTGTTGTGCCCCTGGCTTGGGCTAAGCTCATCCCTCCTGTGTGGAATCCTTTTCCACTCTCCATCTCCATGTGGTCTTTGTTTGTCCCACTTTCCTTTATCCTTTAGGCTCCCACTTCATTGCCACCATGCAGTTCCATCTTCTCCTTCGTATTTCATCACTGATCTTATACACGCCTGTACATGTACTGTAAGCTATAGTATCTAGCAGGCCCTCTTTTCTTCCATCGTTATTTCACAGGCTTGGCATGAATACAGTAGAACTGGCCACACCAGCATCTTGAACATTTCATATTTAATAAAATTGACCTACAGACTAAATTAAAAATCCAGAATATTCCATGATAATTCTCTGACCTTTTAACTACAAAGGTCACATTTACTTTCACGTGCAACAGTGGCTTAACCTCATTGATATTAAACAATTGGGATGCTCAATATTTCTCGTTTTATAGGATCTAGCCATATCAGGTAGTAAGATGCCAACCCCAATCACCCTACAGTTCCACAAGTTTCAAGAATGGGTGCAAGCCAATCAACAGATTTATGAACTGCAATCTAAAATACTTGACCTGGAAGCAGCAAAAATCAGGTAAATCCAATGTTATACAGTATCATACACACTTAATTTCCTTCCTCAGAGGCCACAATCCTTTTGGTCAGCACAAGAATAATGACCTCCGGCTGGTTCTGATTTTTTGACCATGTGCAAACGTCACTGTCTCCAGACGTTGTGTGGGGCCAGCTCCAAAACTAGCAACCTCTGGACTGTTCCAACTTGAAAGTCCATGATTCACAAATTTCTGGTCACTTTCTGCAGACTCAGAGCTTAGTATTCTGCTCAATTTAAAATGCACACTCTGCACATGTGACTGGAATAAGTAAATTCTACCTGTGCAAATGCTACATGACCATCAAAAGTCTTCAAATATGCTCTGCTATAAAGTACAAAACAGCGCAAACAGTAATAAACTGTAGGAGGCTTTATTATGCGAAATTTTATTGTTCCTTAAAAACTAAAACTCCAGGAAATAACGGGGCTTGTTATCAGCAAGTCAAAGATTTGAGGTCCACATTTTCAAGAGCGGTAGGGGGGTGCTCATCAAAATTTATTATTGTTAGTAGTAATGGTAGGTACAGCTGTAGGTAGGTTAGTTCTGCATAATGAGCGAAGTGGTTCATCAGGCCGGAGCTTATCATGGTTTCAGTAGCATGAAGCGACTAGGAGTATTTCTATTCCCCCTTGGAAGGGATGCTAGTCCATCGCAGGGTTACCCCTCAGCATTAAATTTGCCAGTACCCATTTATACACCTGGGTGGAGAGTAGCACCGTGAGAGAAAGTGTCTTGCCCAAGAACACAACACAAACAAACAACAAACAAACAAAAACCTTTATTAACATGTCTGGGGTATTTAGCATTGCTGCTAATTGAGGACACACACACAAAAAAAGAAATTATGAATGTATTTTTCAATGTCCTCAGCCAGGGCTCAAACCCAGACTGCTTGCTCCAGAGTTGAGAGCACTAATCATGAGGCCACTGTAGGAATGGTAGTTTCCATCAAATTGTTGTGAAACATGACAAGGTTGAAGAGGCCTACAAGGGCATCTACAGCAACTCTTTGTGGTACCCATTTATACACCTGGGTGGAGAGAAGCACTGTGAGAGTAAAGTGTCTTGCCCAAGAACACAATGCAATGACCACAGCTAAGGCTCCTATCTGGACTTATTAATCTGATCTGATCCATATCTTCCATGTTCCCAGTAGTAATATTCTTAATTTTGTGTGATGATCAGTAGTTTAAGTAAAACTTTTCAATTATGAAATATGTTTACATTTGAATACAGATTACACAAGGACTTTTGTGTGCGAGAGGACAAAGAGTCATCCCAGTCATCTGTGACGACCAGACAGTCCTTCACTTCACATCTGGAGCTAAAGCTTGCATCAAAAGAACCAGATGTTGCATCGGGAGAACTAAAGCTTGAACAAGTTATTGTCTCTGAAGGTTCTGTTGAGATTGCCAGCATTTTGGACAGAATATTAGACACAAGCTATACAAACAGCAGTTTTGAGGCTTGCAAGCTGAAAACTTACATTCGTGAATGCTGGGATGTGCAAACCATCGATGACGAGTTTCCCACAGGAGTTCACCCAGACAGATATCAGGAATTTGTTGGCGGCATGGCTCAGTATATTGTGGACAAGCAGCTGACTCATCAGCGGGAGAGCTTGTCTTATGATATGGTCTATGTAAGTGGTACAGGAAAGCTTGAAATAAAAGAAGAAAGAAACTACACTGTAGTATTGGCGATTAGTTTTTTCCTGTGGTCTTGTGCTGTTGAACACATGGGGAAGAATTTCAATACAGTTGTCGTTGCCAATGCCATTGTTTTCATTGTAATAATCCAAATTAGAAATTCATCCCATTTATAAATAACTACTTTATATTTATTTCTAGAGCCAAGTTTGAAGAGAAAACTTTACTTCAAACAAGGCATCCTTTTGAAACCCACCTAATTGATTGCAAGCTTGCAGTGAACTTGAATGTAAAAGAATGATGATTAGACAGTACTGTATTTAAAGACAATCCTCCTGGCCAGACAAATGTACAATCGTGTAATATTTTGACTGTTTTTTGAATGGCATGTATTGAAAAACAAGACCTTTGAGAACATTTTTTCAACAGACTTAACATCATGTAACAACTGAAACTCAGTTTGACATATCAGTGTCACTCTTTTTTCCATGATGGAATCAACGGCTCTTTTGTGAACCCCTTCAAAAGAGCACCACTTTGAACTGAGCAGTTTTTTGAATAAGCACAGTCTTATGGGTCAGGGTTGTGGCACTTATTTTAGAACATTTTTTTCCTGTCATGTGCTACACTTAAGCTAGCTAGGCACTTGACGTGACGTTTATCTTCAGGCACACAATTCATCCCACACAAAATAGATATCCAACATTCAACCTGAAAAATTCAATATTGATAGCACAAAACTCTGTAATTATTTTTTTCAGACCAAACTAGAGCAGTATCTGGTGCCGCCCATTTACAGCCTTGTCCAAGATTACATCAGTAAGCCAGATGAAGACAGAAGAATATCACAGATCTACACAAGCCTGGCGCACATCACTCAGACACAGTTTGGTATCAACCCAGAGTATCAAGACGATGGTATAACACCATATTATGCAGCAGTGACATGTATGAAGAGCAGCATGCTGTCAATCTTACCTTCACGCAAGATCCATGCTATTGTGAGTGCTGCGCAGTGCGTGTTCAAAAAACTTAATGAGTTGTCTATGCTAGAACACTCCAGACCAGCTGGTGCAGGTATTTACATTGTAATAAGTTAACTACAACTTAATTGAAGTAGCTTAGGTGGAGGCACAGTGGCTCATGGTTATTGTGCTTGACTCCGGATCAGGCAGTCCATGTTCAAGCCCTGGCCAGGAACACTGAGTTATGTTTTTGGGCAAGACACTTTACTCTCACAATGCCTCTCTCCACCCAGGTGTATAAATGGGTACTGGCTAAATGCTGGAGGGTAACCCTGCGATGAACTAGCATCCCATTTGGGTGGGGGGTGGTACATGTACACGTAGAAATACTCCTAGTCGCTTCATTCTTCTGAAACCAGAGATAAGTACTGGGCAGATAGGCCACTTGGCTGGTAGAAGTTACTTGAAGTAGCTTTCAAATAAATACATGTACATGTAGCACTTTACAAGCTGGTCGCCTGTTGTACAATTAGACTCGCTTCATGCTGGCCGCATTACAATGTAATAGCAATGTTTTAATTCAAGAATAGAAAGAGGAGTGGAAAACAAGAGTGGAAGTTTTGTGGGAATGGGTAGGTAGGTAAAGTCTGCATATGAGCTAGGTGGCCCATCAGGCCGGAGCTTATCCCGGTTTCCTTAGCATGAAGTGACAAGGAGTATTTCTACTCCCCCCTTGATGGGATGCTTGTCCATCGCAGGGTTGCTGGTACCCATTTATACACCTGGATGGAGAGAGGTACTGTGAGAGTAAAGTGTCTTGCCCAAGAACACAACACAATGTCCCC